TGAATCTCACAACTTTTTTTTTTAAAAAGTCACAAAAAGTGATTTTTATATAACACCCAATCTTCTATACGCTGCACATATTTTGCTAAAAAATTGGAGGCTACATAATCACTGTTTATAAAACGAATAATTCCATTCCACCTGAAACATAGTAATGTAATACACCCACAGTTGAGTTATTCATAACATAGACTAAGTATTGCTTTTATTGTCAGACCTAAATTACAGGGTTGTGTGCCTATCTTTATATAATACTAAATAACTGAAACTACTTAATATTTAAATATATAAATAGAATTGTTGTTGCGATGAAACTGTGATTCTATTTAAGTATTTCGAAATTTTTACTTTCGAAATACTCAAATTGAATCTGTATGATATTTACAAAGAGTGTTCATAAAACCCATTAATTATCTGCATTAATTGGTTTTTATTGGCAAGTACCAATATAATTCGTTTCAGTTAAATTGTCTTTATAAAATAAGCATGTTTAAAAAGTTGTCTCAGTGATTGCGTTACAAACTTTACCGTTTATTAGGACTTTATATGCTTTTTTTCGTTTTGTAAAATATTCAAAAAATGTTGTCAGGCAGGACAATTTATGAAAATTTTATTAAGCAAATTTTCAATTCAATTTTTTATTTCAACAGGATTGCTTCTTTGATTCTTCTTTTTTCAACAGGATTGCTTCTAGACTCAAGAACTTTGTAATAAGATGAATATTCGCCATTTCTTGTCCAATTGTATTTGAAATTGTCTACTGCCGTATCTTAGTCCTACATTATTGCTAATGCATTATTAGAATAAACCGGCTTCATTGCTACACTTTCTGTTTCCTGTTTGAAGATTTTCTTTACTTTTGTTGCTCTCCATAAGGATTTTTGGTATATTTTTGGTATATTTTTGGTTAGCCTATTTTATGATATGCAAAACATCTTTACTTACGAACTTCAAAGCTATTGCAGCTGAATAAGTAATATCAGCAGATTTTATTTCAACTGTTGGTAACATTGATCTAAACTTTTATGTAGCTCAAATAAAGCATGGAATTACTTTAAGAATAATTTATTTCAGTTTCTCTTATAGACATTGATGGAAGTCCAAATCTCTCAAAATTCGTGCATAACATTCGACCTAATTCTTTAAATTTATTAAAGGTGTTTTTAATTAAAATTTCATTTCAATTTGATAGAAACTGGAAACCTTTTTAACTACTATGTGTTGTAATCATTGTCACTCCATGACTGCAAATAATGATTTTTGTCAATTCCATTCTTTATTTTAGGTATTTAATTTTCAATATTTTATATGAATAAATTAATAAACTTTAAAATAAGGATTATTGAAATATTAAATATAATTGATAATTTTTATTTTTTAGTATTCATTTATATTAAAAAGATTTTTGTTAGGGTCATAGAAAGACTTTTTTTTAATGTTACTTAATGTAAATCATGTATTTTGAAAAAATTTTCACTTAAACAAGCTCATACTTTGCAAAGATTATTTTTTATGATTTAAAGTTTCATTAAAAGTAGGTACATATATTTTTAATTTCCCTAATTGCTTTTTAACTACATGCACATTTATTTCCATCTCCCACAAAATTTACCTTAAATGGCTCAAATTACGTAGTATATATGCTCCTAATTTTTCAATTGTATGGTTTTAGGTTCTGAAAAATGCAATTCAATTTTGAAAAATGTAAAATTATACATAATGGTATTAAAAATATTATTCATCAATATTTTATGACTAACATTATTGTAAAACAAGAATTGATGACTACTAAATTAGAAAAAGATCTTCGCGTATTCATTAAAATGGTTTAAGATAAAAAACACAAATCAAAACTGCATCATCTATTGCAAATTACAATTTTGCTATAATCTGCAAATCATTTAAGTTGATAGGTAGTAAACAAATAAATTTGTTTTACAGCAGTTTTATGTTTAATGATATATTTTAATAATAATAAAAATAATAATAATAATAGCAATGATAATAATAACAATAATAATAATAATAATAATAAAAATAAATATTATAATGGTCGTAATCAGCATAATATTATTTATAGTTATATAAGTGATTTATTTCACTCATACAAAAGCCTGATCAAAGGAATGACACTATATCTAAAATATAATGTAAGTAAAAAAATATGCACAAAGACATACATTAAAACACATAGACTAAAGCACATAGAACATAGATTAAAAATAAACATGTAAAAATCATAATTTGCAAGTTATAATAATAAAAATAAAATAAAAAATAAACAAACAAAAAGTAGGGAGAGCGGAGTTGGTTGTCGCACTTTTTACGTTTTAGAGTGCTTATGTTTTATTTTTTGTTAAATCAAAGCCAAACGCTGCACAAACGCTGCACAAACGTTGCACATTTAACTTACATAATTACAACAATTTCGTGACATTGAGTTGAATATATTTTGTTGAAAAATCATTTTTCAAAGACCTCTGTTGTGTGACACAATACACAAGTCTTGGTATGTTTGGATAATAACCAGTTAATGCAAGTTTGAGTACAACTTAATTTTTATAATATAATTTGATTTCAACAATTTTTTTTACTTTCATTCACATTTAATTTAGGATTTTTAGTCTTATTAGTTTGCTTTTTTTATTATTAGTTAGCCATGCTTTGACAAATGACTTAGTTAGAATCATAGTTGAACGGTTTTTTCTACCTTTTTTTGATTCGAACCTTTGACCAGCTTTAGGAAGAGGCTAAATACTCTCAGGTGATATGATTGAATTTTTAAAAACTAATGGAGTTATCGGGCCAATCAGAGATTTTATTTGATACAATAGGATCTTTTAAACTTCTGTCTAGCCAATTAGCTGGTATCTGAATAAATTTTTAAACCTTTTATTTGGTGGTCCTAGTTGAGCTGAATAAGGTTGGCAGATTTCTTTATTTGAATCAGAATATGAAGAAGATGGATTTAGACGATCAGTTACATAATTAGGACAATAATCAGCATCAGTAAAAATATCATGATTTAATAGGTAAATATTCACTGCAGCAAAACCACTCAAAATTATATTGGGAGATACAGCCTGTGATACAGCTTGTGATATCGTACTTTTAAATGACGTCATATAGCACTAACTAAGAATTTGAATGAACGGTTTAAAAAAACAACGCGCGCAGTTGACGCAAACGTGACAGCCGACTGCCTTTATTTTGTGATAAGTAACCAATTCTATGTTAGTAGAAAAACACCTGTAAATTTACCTAAAAGCATGTGAATTTCATAAGAATTTTTTATAGACTACGTTTCTCAAATGAATAATAAACTTTTTAAATGTACATTCAAAACACAACAAAATAATTTCCGTTTAGAAAAATAAAAACCTTTAGTATGTGAAAGTTAACTTTTACATATTAAAACTCATATAACTAAATAATTTTAGACCACACGCTAAAAAAAGATGAAAATAACTGTAAAAATGTTTTTTTTAATAAGTTTTCTGTTGCACAATTTAAAAATTCTAAATCCTATCTAGATTTTTGGAATAAACTTTGTGACAACCAACCCGCGTGACAACCAAACCCGCACTCCTCTACTGATAATAATTGTAATAATAACGAATAGAATATTAAGAGAACATTTTATTAATAAGGATAATAATTTTTGTCTTTAGCTTTAGAACCGTCACTGTGATAGACAACCAAATGCCTACCCTACTTTTGGGTTTTATAATGTGGTACATTTAGTTTTCTATTGTATATATTTCTAGTAAAGAAAAAATGTACTAGTCTTCTTTCTGTAAACAAGTTTGTAATGGAGGTTAATTTTTATTTAAGGAGTTAAAAATAAAAAGAAGAATACTTTACTAACGCTGGAAAGGTTTAAATTTTTAGTTTTTTGAAGGACTCTGATGTACCTGATTTAAATGGCTGGAAGTTTATTGATCTTATGGATTGACTTTGAGACGATAGCAACTTATTAATACGATAATTTCTAATTTGTCCATAAACTTGACACAATAACTAAGATGAAATGAGAATAATGCATAGTAAATATTCTTAAATTTAACTTTATCGACATAATGACGAGTTATTGAGAGCACACTTTTAGCTCGAGATTTCTTGCGTAGGTCATCAATGTGAAAGTTGCATGAAAGATTGCAGTCAATTAAAACCAAGCAAGATATTTATTAACTCTCAAACAATATAGTCGTTTGTTAATAAAGTTGATTTTAATTTCAACATTTTTATAGAAATAGTTTTTCTCGAAAATAAAAAAAATAAAAAAATAGTTCAATTTTTTTAAAAACATAAGGAATGATACGACTTGTTGATATAAAATCAGCAAACAGATAAACTGACAAGTAGTGAACAGAGATAGTTAGGTCATTAACGTAGATTAAAAACAAAAGAGTACCAAGAACAGAACCTTAAGCACCAATATACAAAACAGATTTATAACTAGAATTAAAACCACTTACATATTGTTTTCGATTTGAAAGATATGATCGAAACCAGAGTACCGTTTCTTCTTAAAATATTCTAGGTAAACAAATATTATTTGTTCACTGATAAAAAAAAATGTTTAAATCTAAATCCTGAGGGTTTCTTTACAATTTTACTGTCAACTTCTGGAAAAAAACAGCAATTGAAACAGTAGAAGTTCAAAATCTCAACTTATCTAAAGGAAATCTAGACTTAATTAAGAGTATTTTAATTTTCGTTTAGTTTGTAAAAAAATTAATATAACGTTAAATCTCAGCAGTATCGTATATAGTTATTTTTATATTATATTATTATTTAATACTTCATTTATTTATTTAATTTAAATATTCAAAAACTTGAATAGTTCAATAAATGCAAGTGAGATCATGCGCTACGTTTTGGTAAAGGTAAAAGGTTATCCTTTTACTTTAACTAAAATTATGTTGTTTTCACAGTTAAAATTTTGTTAATTTTATTTTTAGTTCCATTTATTTTTCTTTTCATCACAAAATATTTACCTTGTCGAAATGCAGAAGAAATTCAACGTCGAAAAAATTTGAGTTCTGAGAAAAAATAATATAAATAAAACTAAAGTTGTAATTCCAATAAAAAATAACATTTATGTAACTAACTTTATTACGATGTTGTCGTTTCGATAAAAAATAACGTAAGTGTTACTAAAAATGTTTTTATTCCGATGAAAAATAACATTAATCTAACCAAGGTTATTACAACGTTGTAACTTTGACAAAAATAACATTAATGTAACCAACGTTATTACAACGTTGTAATTCCGGTGAAAAGTAACATTAGTGTAAACAATGTTAGTACAACAATGTTGTTCCGATAACAACTTTATAGTTCCGATAAAACAACTTTAGTGTTAAGAACGCTCTTACAAAGTTGGATTTATTTGATTGACGTCGCCTAAAATAACACTACATAATTGCAATATACATATCGCATTAATCTTAGGTTATATTTATATATATGAATATATATATATGTATATGTATATATATATATATATATATATATATATATATATATATATATATATATATATATATATATATATATATATATATATATATATATATATATATATATATATATACATCTTGGTAATTTTAAAGTAACAATTAAGTTGTGTTCTTTTTATGTTTTACATGTAGACGCAGTAAAATTTTGAGAAACTTTACGGTACTTTTAAATATTTTATATTTCTCTTTTAGTGACTTAGCTAGGTTCAGAAAATTCTTTTGAATTAAAACACAAATTCATTAAAAAAATTTAAAATTTTTTCATATTATGAATTAATCAGTCAACAATGAGGAAATGGAAAAAAAGTAGAGGGTTATGGGTTCATATTCTAGAAAAGTATGCTTATAAGCAGAGATGCGAAATTGAAGTCTGGAGTCCAGGAGTCATACATTTTTACCCAAAGTCTGGAGTCCCACATGTCGTAAATAATGCTGGGACTCCGGGGCTCAGTGATTTTTTAAATTTTATATCAGCATATGAATGTTTTCTAACTAACTATTATTAACTGCTATAATTTTATTAATTTAAATTTGTTTAACCAACAGTTATGTAACTTTAAACTAGTAAAAGCACTAATGCATTGAACAACTCTGCGTATGGCAAGCCCTCCAGTATATAAATTCTTCAAAAATGTACAGCGTGTTTATGCCAAACATCGCCCATAGCAGACATTACTTTTAAAGAATAAAAGAGACGAACCACAACATATGCGGTGCACAAAACCTTTGTTGTATACAATGATTGTTAGTTGCCATATTATGCTTAGACTATCCTCGCAGTCGGAAATACGTCTTCATCTTTGCCGCAAACAGCTACTATTTTGGATGGGAAAAAATAGTAATAAAAAAGCGCAAACACCAACATTAACTAAAGAACACCTAAAAACGTCCAAGAGTTTATGTGTTTTTGGATGTTTTTAATTCCAGCACCCCATCATATCTAATTTATCCAAATAAAAAGTTTGATTACCATTGAACTTTTTTTTTACTGAATTTACTTTCCCGAAGTCTCTTTTACTTGAATGCTACTATTTTTTTTAAGAAAAATTAAACAAAAATCGATAAATTAAAAATAGACAAACTGACTTTATTAAATTGCTTGTAACTGTAAGCTTAAAGTGTAATATCTATTCTACAGTCTCCTTTATTTGAAATTGACTATCCGAACTTTATTCATAGCGAAATTTGCAACTTTATAACTTCGTTCTAACATCGAGATTTTGTGAGATTGTACTCACTAGTATATTGGTATGCCAGTATTGAGTCATTGTATGTCTTAACGCTGTCTTGACTTGTAAAAGGTTACTAAACAACCGCTCTTCTTCAGTAATGGAAAATGGAATCATGCTAAAAATGCGAAGCATATAGGATATTGATTCGAATAGAAAATGAAGACCCTTCTAGTAGATCATTGAAATGAAAAAATTTTTTGAGGCAAAAAAATTGGCGCGCTTCAGAGTATTCAGATGACGAAGCTCTCTAATAAGTTTCTTTTCATCCACATCGTTCACATTGATTTACGTCAAAGTTTTGCATTTGGTCTCCAGTCTATGTGATTCAATTTCTTAATTCAACCTACTATCATATTCTAAGAGCCATAAAAACAAAAATTAGTTCGCCGACTTTTCTGCAGCTTAAAATCTGTCTCTTATTTGGTATCGTGAGCGGTATTGAATACGTTTACCTCAAACTGCTTCTCTTCATTTTTATAGAAATATACTTCGTTCTTGACTTTTTTGTGAAAGGTCTATCTCTTTTTTGTCTTCTTTTAAACCAAAGTATCAGACTTTGGTTTAAAAAAAAACCATAACTTGATTGACAGGAGGCAATCAAATGTGCTTCATTAATGGATATGGGCCTAGAAGCCCAAATCTATTAATGAAGAACATTTGATTGTAAATAAAGCACATTTGATCATAAAGATCCTTAATAAAAGTTTTCATAAGATTTATCTCATCATCTAAGGAAATGATTTCTGATTGAAGTGAGACACTGACATGTTTATGGCTTAAAGAGATTTGAACCAAAAAGATGAACTCAAATGACTGAATTCATTTTTTTAAAGATTTTACTTCATTTAATAGTTCATCAATTAGATCAAGGTTACGAAGCTTCTGCAAAGATATAAGAACATCCATAGGTATCTTAACCAACGTTTTCAAAATCTCAATGTGAACACTCCATTGGGTTTGCGAGGTTTGATAAAGAGACATACTAGTTTTCTCAGCCAGGACATTTCATTGAATAAGGCTTCCACTAAAAATATTGTAAAGTAAATGAACCAAACCAAAATAGTTCTTCACTTCAACGGAAGATTCAGCGGAATGTTTATCGGCAGGGTTAAGGTTATGAGTGTACCATGACATATAAAGAGCATTATGATTTTTCTGAAGCATATGAGTATATATATATATATATATATATATATATATATATATATATATATATATATATATATATATATATATATATATATATATATATATATATATATATATTAGGGTGCATCAGGGGCCCCATACATTCAAAAACTGATCTGTTCCTATTCTTAAAACATTCTATTGGTTCTCACAAGACTTTTCAAAATTAAATGAGATTTAGGGGCCACCTCAAGTCTGAAACTTGCAACGAGACCCTAAACAGCAGAAAAAAAAAGTTTTTTAAATGTATGTCATGCTGTATCTCAGAGGGGGCGAAATTTTATGGGAATTTCAAAAATAATAAACATTTTATCAGATCACCAGATCATATTGAAGTTGTCTTTAATTTTATAGATAATTTTACTTATACTTAATTTTTTTCTGTCTCAAAATACTTCGTTTAAAATAAAAAAATCATCTGTCGTTCCAAAACTGTTATTTATAAGAGAAGCGAGAGTTGCACTTAGTGCAGTAGAACTTATTCCATATCGTGATGCTGCTGGAACTAAATCTTTTTCTGTATTTTTTGGAACAGTAGGCGGAACAGCATTAGATTTAACTTTTCTAGAAGTCTGTAGATACTGTTCATTTTGGTCATTATAATTTTTGTTGTGTTTTCAAATTTCTCATTAACCAACTCTTTCTATTTTCTCATGGACACTTTAGCTCTTAGATTTTTGGTCAAACTCCTTTCTGGTTGTAAAGAAAATCTACATCTTCTTTTCTAGTTTTTGAATCTTTAGTTTTATCTTTCGTAATAATATCTTCACAATTGTTTTGACTTACATCAAATAACTCCTCTATGATTCTTGAAAAATTTTCTCTTTTTAAAACTAAACTTGTACTTAAACGGTTCCTGTGTTAAATTCTTTTCTTTTCTAAGTCAACAATCTGGTCTCTAAAGTAGAAGAATGCATTAAAGTTAATGCAATTTATCATAAAAATATAAAATTTTATCATTTTATAATTGTTACTTATATTTAATGTTGAATTAAACTAAAAATTTAAAATTTAGTATAATAAAAAATGCATTTTAGTATAATAAAAACCTGATACGCTTGTTAGTATTAATAAAAGGAAGAAATTTTTTTTTCCTTCTTTTTTGCCAAGTTTTTTTTAACCTCGTAAAAGACGCATGATAATCATTTTTGGAGACAACCGCCTTTTCCAGCACATTGTGCAGTAAAGAAATCAATCAAGAGGACATGAAGCTATACCAACTGAAGAAATTTTTGGAAAAAGAGCTTTGTAATGGTAATATTGCAATACAGTTTTTTTAGTTGGCAATTGTTCCAATTCTTTTTTCAATAAGAAAAACCTAACTTTTTTAAACTATTGCTTGACATTATTTTTATTAACTCGAAAATGAAAATTTTGAAAATTATGGACTTTTTTTAACTTAATCACTCACCCCCTTACCTCCAAATATACACCACATATATTTAAATAGGTAGGGCTGACCATTTCAATCATCTTTTTGCAATAAAATAAAACATAATCTAAAATTAGATATATCAGAATACAAAAATAATCCTTAAGATATCTTTGAAATATTAGAAAGTGCCCTTGCCCCCTCATTATTTACAAAAATTGAAAATTTTCGTATTTTCGGACTGCTGGGACCAACCATAGGGTACTTATAAAAAAAAACTATATCATTTTAATACATATATTAAAAGAAACCAGAAAAGTTATGTATGTAATGAATAATGTAACACAACTCACTTATAATAATTCTGTGAGCCATTAGATATTAATAGATATTTGCTTTTTAGTGATTCATTATTATGAAGGACATATATCTCAATACTTTTGCCTTAAAAAAGTTGAAATACATATTTTAATTTTTTCTCAATTTTAAAAAGAAAGAAATTCGATCCACTATGCCCCAACTTCCCCTACATATACAGCTTTAAAAATATATACACTTTTTAAAATGTGCAACTAACATAAAATTAAAAAAAATACATACCGATGCAAACAACGCACTAAAACATATAGCAATATGAACTATACACTACAATGGCCAATAAACAATACACAAGAACACAAAAACAAAAAAGAATAACAACAACAAAAAGAACCATATATATATATTACATTATATGCCGATGATGCCAGTGCCTATATCTCGGCGAAAATTTCTAATAAATTATTTAGTATTAAATAAT